GAAATTCAAGAAATAACACACACTCTATGAGATACGAATTTATTCTATTCGTGACACTAAGGAAAACATTGAAGTAGAAGCAAATGAGATTGAGAAAGATGAGACGAAATTCCCTATACTCCGCAGTTATATTGTAAGGTTCTAACCTAAGCTCTGATTCCAACATTGTCGCGACCTGTTTCCATGGGCCAGATCGGCACTAGGGCCCAGGAAAGCTTAAGGCCCCTGGGGCCCGTAGTAAGCTTTAATCACTAAAATTCAACTATCTCAATATGAATTTCTACCACTCAGCCCATATTACTATACTCAATAAACCTCATAATTATATTATATTTTGGATCCAAATTTAACATCTTACACATTTCATGATTCGGCCCAATTTGTAATACATTACATTTATAATATGGGCTCATAAATCATTACAACAATATTAATACACAACTAGAGGTATATAAATCCTACAACTGCGGAGTTCACTAACAAATAAATATAAGCAAGTTCTCGTACATATAACTATATAATAAATTAATTACTGAAATTAGGGAATTTCTTTTCTAGCTCTGCGATGAAGGAAACAGAGCTTAAACTAGGCATGGCCGGTTCAGTGAACTGCCGGTTCCGGTTCATTGAATTGCCGGTTCGAGATGTTTAAAATTTTAAACCGGAACCGACCCTTGAACCTCCGGTTTTTAAAATTTTAAAACCGGAACCCGACCCTTGATTGAACCTCCGGTTCCGGTTCCGGCACGGTCCGATTCCGGCAAACCGACGGTTCAAATTACGATTCCGATTCGGTTCCGGCATTACGCAAATTTTTTAGAAAATAATAAAATTTTGATTCCGAATTCATGAATAAATAATAATGTTTAAATGATTAAATTTTATTAACTAAATGAATTATTATAAATTTTAAAAGAAAAACTTCTATTAACTAACTTAGAACTATTATTACGTTAAATTTACAAATTTTGCTAATTTACTAATATAAAAAACTATAAATGGAATATAAAATTAATGGAATGAGTTGGAAATTATTATTCTAAGAAAATTTATTTAAAAAAATCAAATGAAGTAAAATTATGAATGGAAAAATTTGAGATTTAGAGAAAGAATTGGGATTGGATGTAGAAAATAAAAATAAACAATAGATAATTCCATATTAAGGAAAATAAACAGCAAATAGAAAAAATAATTAAACTTATGAAAATTTATGGAGAATTTTGATTGAGGAATAAGAGAAGAGCTAGGATTATAATTGATTGTGAAATAAAAAAATCATCAACCTCATTCATATTTATACATGTTTCTTCATTTATATCCAATTGTCTCTTATAACAGAAAAAAATAACAAACTATATTTTTAGATAATTTAGTAAAATTACAGTTAAATAAATAAATAAAGTGATTAAAAAATGAATAAAATTATTTACTAAAAAATAAATAAAAAACACCTATCATATAAAAAAACTTATTCCTTTTACACTCTTTTTTTTGTACACTTGAAAGTATTTTTTTTTATATAAATCAAACTATTCATGCTACCATTTTTTATTATAAATTAAGTCAAAAAATGTGTTATTTTTTCACAATTTATTTAAACTTATGTACCATTTTTACTTTCTCTTCACCATAAATCCAATTCAAACTATAATCAAATCAACTATAATCAAATCAAGTGATATAAATTTTTTTATAAAAATTTTAAGCTACAATTTTTTGTGCATCCGGTTCGAACCGGACCGAAACCGCCGGTTCCGGTTCATATTTTAACATTCACATGAACCTTAACCGGCCCTTGAACCACCAGTTCTGGTTCAAAATTATGAACCGCCGATTTTGGTCCGGTTCTGATTCGTCTACAGTACGGTTCGATTCCGGTTTGGTTTCGATTAGAACCGAACCGCTGGCTATGCTAGCTTAAACTGGGATAAAGAGGAACCTACTTCCTGAAAAGTTAAACAAGACATGTGAGTCTTATAAAGAATAATAAGTATTGCATAACACATGCATTCACACGAATATGTAAATATATCAATCTAGTCATCCAATTAGTTATATGATCATACTGAGGTCACACAAATGGCATAGCAACAACAATCGCAAATATTAATACCTTCACATAATCACATCATGTGAAAATTGGTATGTGGCATCACCGAAACCCTTGATGAGCCGTCCTCCCACATGGCCCATCCTCTCATGACGTGTGCACCAGGGAGCTGATCCCCCATAACGTGTGCACCAGGGAGCTGATCCCCCATACATGGCTGACCGGTCTAATTCTCACTTGACCAGCCCTCTCATTGTTTTTCCATTCTCTCTTTTCTTTTCTATACCAACAGAAGGTCACCTTGTGGTTTTCCATATCATCCATATCATATCATTAGGTGCACACGGGGGCGCCGATCTCCCCATACTTGGCCGACGATCGAATATTATATTTTCATCATTTCCAGAACCGTCCTCACAAACCCATGGTGACCTACTTCATCCCAATTCCACACAAAAAAGGCATAGCAATGTCACAACACAAATAATCAAATATTGCAATTAAATGCAAGCATATCAAGTAATCAAACACTAGCATGCAAGAACTTAAATAAACATTCATATACCAATTCAAATAAATACGAGAGTATTAAATAATAATATATAAATACGAGAGTATTAAATAATAATATAATAATAATAAAACAAATAAAGAACTTTATTTATTAAAAATATCAAGGTATAGAATTAATCTAAATAAACCTATTTATTTAACTACTATATATGATTAGCCTAGATTCTATTGAAATTTCGGTGGAACATTCCTTATAAATTGGGCTAAAGCACCCTCCTAAAACTAAAATTCAGTAATAAATTCTCAAAGCCCATCCATCGGGCAATTCACAACAACCGGTCCCGTCCGCCATAACCATCATTCATTTATTTAATCATTTACTCCATTCTTATAGCCCATCCATCGGGCAAATCAACCCATTCGCCTTAAACAATATTTATCAACCATCGCACACACATATATGCACTCAAAGATTCTAAAACCTAAAACAAACAATTAATCGCAATCGGCTATCATAAACATCGTAAACAGTATTTATCAACCATCGCATACACAAATATGCACTCAAAGATTCTAAAACCTTAACCAAATAATTAATCGCAATCGGCTACCATAATTCATTGCAATCTGCTTTAAAAGTCAAGCCTTTCTCCTTTTTTGACTTAATATCATGAATAATATCATTTGAAATGAGAATTCCATCTATAATCTGACAACCTCCCACAAAGTTAGTCTGTTTCGCCAATTATAGAGCACATAACTTTCTTCATTCTGAGAGATAAAACCTTGGTTAGAATCTTGTACACTCTTCCTATTAAGCATATTGGCATGTAATCTTTAAGCCCTTGAGGTGAGGGTTTTTTAGGCATGAGAGCAATGAGACTAGAGTTTAGCCCCACTGTTAACTTTTCATTGCAGTGGAATTCTTGAAAAAACTTTAGTAGATCACAACGAATGACATTCCAACATTTTTTGAAAAATTTGAATGTAAAGCTATCAGGTCCCTATGCTTTGATCCATTAATAATAATATCAAGAATCAAACAAGCATATAGACTAGATATAGAACTTTATTATTAGTAGCTAATACACTTCGCTGATTATAGAACTTTATTATTAGTAGCTAATACACTTCGCTGATCTTTTAATGAAAGAAAGGAATTTATATTCTTTTGAATAATGAAACTAAAACTAAAAAAAATATAATATTACATCTTTTCACTCAGAGTTGATCTTTACAAAAGATATAAATCTTTATAACAGCAATTATTCCATTAATTGATTTGGAGGTCAAAATAATAGCTCCTCTAAATCTTTTATAACTGGATTATTTTTCCAATAATTTGCAATATATAATGAATACATATGAGTTTTTGCCGCTATGTGTCAATAGCATTGATGGAGGAACTAGCCGCACTATCAGGTTCCATCGATCGAAATACACATTTGCAAATCAAGATCTAAAGTCTCTAACTGAATAAAATCAAATATTATAGCCTTATTTAGTAATAAACATTCACAAAGAAGGGACTACCCTCACTGAGGAAGAAAAATACTTCAAACATAAAGATAACCAACAATAATAAAATAAAAAAGACAGATCTGTTATAGAAAAAATAGATCTGAGTTATTAAAGCAAAAGAAGATTAAAAACAAAAGAGGGTGAAAGGAAAGAGATAGTAAAAAGCAGAATGTAGGGCTACTGCCGATAAACAGCGATAGCTTCAAACTAAAAGTAGGGTTAGAAAACTAGAGAGAAAAGAGAAAGCTAAATTTTTTCACTCTAAAGTTATACATTAATCTAATTTTACATTAATATTTAATATTCGAACATTTTATGAAATAAGCTATAATTTATCCTTTTTTTTGAAAGGTATAATTTATCTAATTAATAAAAAATTATTGTTCAATTATATCTAATATAACTAATCTCGTAATTTAAAAATTAATAAATATAAAAGAAATTTTCATTTTAAAAAATTGAATTGAATTTACACATACACACGCACACATATATATAACAGTTGAGCTATTTTGACTCTAAACAGTAAATCGAACCAAATGCTCAATTTTTAAACGCTAAAAAATCAAATCAAATCATTAATCTTTTAAATCATGATTTTGAATCGATTTAGATCGATTTGCACAGTTGAGGTGGTTTGATGAACACCTCTACTTTTTTTCCATATTTGAAGGATTTTTGTTAAGAAACCCTAGAGCTCCTCACCAAACACAAATCGTTTCAAACCCGCCGCCGCTCTCTCTTCCCCAATAATAAAACGGCAAAATGTCTCTCTGTTTCAATATCATTCTAAAACCTAATCTCTCTCTATTTCAAGTCTTAATTTATGTGGTCTCTACTTCGGTTTTCAAATCCATAGACAAAACCCTACTTCCTCGCTTTTTCAAATCCATAGGACAAAAAACCCTACTTTCAAATCCATAGACAAAACCCTACTTCCAATTTATTCTCTTCTCTTTTAGTTTCTTGTTTCTTTTTTGTTTTATTGCTTGAAACTCTCAGTGTCTGTCTCTGCAGAAGTCTCATGAAAACCCCATGAATTGGTCTATAAAATACACAGCGTCATCTATCTGGTGCGGATCCATTCCCAAAATCAAACTGTGTAGGTGGCAAAAGCAATTAGTTAAAAGCAAATTTGATTCATCCAGTAACATTGATGATGCTTTGGCTTCCTTTAATTTGATCCTTCGTAGGAATCGGTCACCACCTTTGGTGGAATTTATGTAGATCATGAGACTGTCATTTGTTTGTCTATCTAAAGGGATGGAATTGTTTGGTGTTTAACTCAATTTTTATTCTATTAAATATTTGACCTAATTGCTTTTTCTTCTTACATCGTGCGGATTCTGGGTACTCTCCTATTCAGATTGATTCCATAGCTTCATCAAATTTATCCTCCCTACCTTTAATGGGCTTGGTAGGGAGGATAATTTTGTTGAAGCTGTGTAATCGTTTGATGATATTGTTGCGAAAGGGTATCACCTGATATTTATACCTCTACTGTGATTTTTCTATGCAGAATTCTAGGTTCCTTTTTACCTTGCTTATAATGATAGTTTGGCTGTCTGAATTTTTTTTTTGGTTTAATAATCTTATATGATGTCTACAATTGAAGAACACAATTTTACCTTTAGTTGAACTTTTCTGTGAAGGATTTGAGTTGCTGTGGTTTCATCACGTTGTCAAAAGATTAAAATTGGTACTCATTATTTAACCAATATAGCTTATTCTGCCTATATGCATATATATATATATATATATATATATTTTGGTAGAGAATGGATTTGAACTTTTAATCTGACTAATGTTTTACTTTTCCTTTAGCAATTATTCGCTATATATAGATCAGGCAAAAGTTGCAGCTGAGCCTTCACTGATGTCTTGACATTTTAAAGCTTTAATGGTTGAGTTCGTTTAAGATTTTTCATTTTTTTTGGTTTTAACTTCCTATGCCAATTCCCCAATTGACCACCAATGTATGTAATCAAGCTTGTTGATTTATTTTTTTCAGCATCTCATATGCAAGTGCAAACTTAGGCATGTGAATTGAAGCTCGATAGAGATTAGGATCCTAGAAGTCTTTTTCTTTTTTCTTTTTTTTTAAAATTTTTTTTTTATATATTTTTAATTCTGGCTCTTTATTTTCACCCTGAATTAGAGGTATACACTCTTATTTGTAGAATAGGGCACTGGTAGTCAAAAGTTATTCACATGACTGATTTTAACGTATTTTCAAGGTGTTAAGTAAGTTATTTTCACTTGGTCAATATATATATTTTTACTTCATATTGTTATCTATATGACTGATCTGTGGTTTTCTAAGGGGTTTAGTAGTGTCTTTAGTAGGAAAATGTTGGAGCTAGCTGCCCCTTAGTTAAGAGGGGAATTGATGTGTCTGTAAAAGGTAGCTCCTCTATTCTTTCTTACTCTTGAACTTTGTAGCTCCTCTATTCTTTCTTACTCTTGAACTTTATTTATTATTTGATTATATTTTATAAATCTAATTTGTTCTCTAAAAAGAGCAGTTGGTTTTGACTAGCCTCTTGTGTATCTTTTTTTCACTAATCATAATTTTCTGTACAGCCCAATAATGGAGAGATCAATAGCATTGTGCATTTGAGTTTAACCACCAGGCAAGTAGCCGTGGAAGGGAAAGCTTAGTACTTTCTGTGCAAATCTAACTCTTCAAATGGTAGAAAGGAATAGTTTTAGAGAGAAGAATGGTCTGGGGGATGAACACTGATTTCCAAAAGGCGCTTGATCTTATTCTACAAGTGGCTGTTCATGGGAATTTTTGAAGAAGATGAAATGATAAAGAGAGTGTTTGTGTTTAGATAAAGATGAAATGATAAAGAGAGTGTTTGTGTTTAGATATGGAATTTTATAGAGCATTGTCGGGACCTTGGGAAACTGATTATCAGGTGATGGTGAGGAAATGTACAGCTAAAGGATATGGTAACTGCACGCCATAGAGATGTATGGAATTTGAGAGACTCAAGGGTGCACTAGTTCCTACAACTTGAAAATGGGGTGGCTTTGATTAGCTGATTCCATGAAAACTTGATGAAGCTCTTCTTGTATGCAAATGGTCCTATTGGTCCTGTTATTATTTTTAGTGGTCTTTTAAATTTTATAATCCAAACCAAGTCACCTACTTATGAACATCCCTAATTATTGTTATTATTATTTTGAAATATAATTTTTGTTAGAGAGATCAAGGTATTGATGCTCTTTTTTTTGGAACCTTTGAAGCCAGTTCACCTACACCTTTCCACCATCGTCTCTAACTCAGTCTGATTATGTTGACTGTATACATTCATTAGTTTGTCAAAATATTCTTCCTTGACAGATACTAAATATTTCATTCTATGCATTTTGAATTCTCTTTTAAAAGTTTAAAACTTGCATTTGCCTAGTTTTCTCTCTATGGAACTCCTTGATCTTGTCCCAAGCCCCCTTGACTCTTTTCTCAAACCATATTAGACCGGATGGAGAGAATGCAAAACAAAGATTTAAACTTATAATAGGTGCTTTTCTTTTAGAGCATCAAATATCTATGATGGAGTAGCATTCTTCTATTCATCTGTAGCATAACAGTTTAATGAGCTAGATACTATCATTAATTATTATTCTTAGTGATAATGAGCTAGATACTATCATTAATTATTATTCTTAGTGAAAATGGATTATTACTTTGAACTGATCCTTAGGCATGTAGATGTGGCCTTATTAGTCAAAATGGGGCTCTGAATAAAACTAATGGATTAAGGCTCAACTTGGATGCAATGTACAATTTGCTCAAAGTTCAATTTTTTATACAATTTATTTCCTCAACTTGGCGTAAGAAAACAAAAAACTCATTTCTTAAAGAAAAATAATTTTTAATAAATAAAAATTATAAAGGTTTAAACTTAGAAAATAAAAAATTATTTAGAAAAATATAAAAAATTATTAAAAAATTATAATATTATATTGAATATTTTCGTTTGCAGAATATTTTTTATTTTTCAATTATATTTGATTTTAATTAAATAATTCATTACTTTTTAATTATATTTGATTTAAATCAAAATTTTTATTTTCATAAAGATTAATTTTTTTAGAAAATATGCTTGCTATACTCTTGGTGCAAGTTTAAGGGAGTAAATTGTACAAAAAATTTATTTTTCTACAAATTGTACATTGCTCCTAAGTTTATAGAGCAAATTGAGTGTTATTCCTAAACTTATAGTTAGGAATTTTATGAGGGGAAACAATATATTTTTTCCAAGTCAATGCAGGTCTTCAACTCATTGGTTTTTGGAGTGATTAATGATGTAAAGTTGATCATTTTGGAGACACCATCGTTTCATTTTAAAGTTTAGAGTACCATTCGGTTAAAATTGTAAAATTATATATATTATGAGAAAGAAGCCGGAAAATGAAAAATTTAATAAACATAACCAGAGGTTTTAATTTTTTTCTATACATAATTAATATAAAGTATTAATCCCCAAGAAGGCCTTGGCTAATTAGTAAGAGAATTACAAGTTCAGTTGTGAAAATTTATTATTAGACAACAACTATAAGTTTAATTTACAGTAGATCAGAATCTAAACTTGCAGTCGGGAATGCACAGTTTGTATGATGGTAAACATGACAAAAATAGAAGATGTAAACATGACCAAAAATAGAAGCTGCCAAGAACAGAATTATTATTAGACAACAACTATAAGTTTAATTTACAGTAGATCAGAATCTAAACTTGCAGTCGGGAATGCACAGTTTGTATGATGGTAAACATGACAAAAATAGAAGCTGCAAGAACAGAAATCCCTGCCTATGGACTATTGAAATAATCTTGTTTTATGGTTTCCATCCATTTGTGCCATGGGTTTTTGCTATAAATATTGAGAGCTTCAACTATATTAGAGAAGTAGAATACACAAAATTTCCTTTGGCAAGATAGCTGAAAAGAGTTGACAGACTATAATCATTGCGTAGCCGATTTTGTATAATTCCATTTTTGGCCAGTATCTCCACATCCTTTGCAGTCTTAACCAGCTTGGTGAGCAATATAGTTATTTATATATTTGTTAGGGCTATGGCATTCCTCAAATGCCTATAGATTCCTTAATAAAATTTAGTTCAACCGTGGAATTACCAAATACCATCTCTAACAGAATTTTAAATTTGCAGGACTCTATGGGGACGTGGATCACAGATAAAAAAGGAATTAAAAATTTATTTTTTACCTATTTTATTGATATCTTTGCAGGCGGCACTTCTAACCGAAACAAGGTTACTCGGTTGGTTAAGCCCAAAGTCTCTAGAGAGGATAACGAGCTGTTGTGTGCCCCTTTCCAGCCTGAAGAATTCAAAGATGTAATTTTTCAAATGCAGCCCGACAAAGTTCTAGGACCGAATGGCCTTAATCCAGCTTGTTACCAGAAATTTTAGCATATAATAGGAGGTGATGTGACGTTAGGGTGTACAGAGTGGCTTAATGACGGTATTTTTCTTGAATCCCTTGCTGATACTTTACTGGTTTTAATTCCTAAATTACAAAATCCTATTACTATTCAAGATTATCACGCGATTTCTCTCTATAATGTTCTTTATAAAATTGTTTCTAAGGTTTTGGCTAACAGATTAAAAAGTTTTTCACCCAATATTATTTCTACTAGCCAATCGGCTTTTGTGTCGAGGAGACTTATTCAAGATAATGTGTTAGTAGCCTTTGAGACTATTCACAATATCAAGCGTAGGAATAGGGGTAATTCCGGTTTTGCGGCCCTTAAGATTGATATCAGTAAGGCCTATGGTAGAGTTAGATAGCCTTTCCTAGAGAATATGTCAATTAAGTTGGGTTTTCAGTGCTAAATGGGTGGGCTGGATGATGATGTGTGTGACCAGTGTTAAATAGTCCGTTATGTGCAATGGGGAGATCACTGGCCCTATTACTCCGGCTAGGGGTTTGAGATAAGGAGTCCCTTTATCTCCTTATTTATATATTTTTTGTGTCGAGGGTTTGTCTCTTTTACTTAAGCAGGCTAATCCTAGGGGTTGGATTCATGGGTGTTGAGCAGGGAGACATTGTCTGAGAGTTTCCTATCTTCTCTTTGCGACGACTCTATTTTTTTCTTTAAGGCTATTGAGAGAGAGAGTCGTAAGATTAAGGATATTTTAAAGGATTATGAGGTGGCCTCAAGTCATGCAGTTAACTTCTTGAAGTCTGAAATTATGTTTAGCCCAAGTGTCCATGTGAGCATTAGGAATTTGGTCTCTAGTATACCGAGAGTGACTAAGTCATTGAATGAGAGTAATTATTTATGGTTTCCTTCCTTAATTGTAGATAATAAGAGACATATTTTTAATTATTTAAAGGATAGATTATGGAGTCTTATTAATTGCTGGAATAATAGGTTTCTGTCAAGAGAGGGTAGGGAAGTTTTACTTAAGTCAGTTGCAGGCTCTCCCTTCTTATTGTATGAGCGTTTTCTTGCTTCCCATTTCTTTGTGTGATGAATTTCAGAAGATTATGAATACCTATTGGTGGGGCAAGAAAAGGGGGATAAGAATAGTATTCATTGGTTTTATTGGGATCATATGTGCCAGAGTAAGAGAGACAGGGGAATGGGTTTTAGAGATTTACATAGTTTTAATGTAGCTATGCTAGGGAAACAAGGGTAGAGGCTTATGATCGACCCTAATACTCTTTTATCTCAGATCCTCAAAGCTAAGTATTGTCTTGATGGAAACTTTTTATCTGCATCTGTTGGATGCAATCCTAGTTTTATGTGGAAGAGTATTCTGTTTGCTAGAGATATGTTAAAGCTTGGTACGAGAAGGAAGGTTTGTAATGGGGAAAAGATTTTGGTTAGTAGAGATCCTTGGATTCGTATGGATAGAAGTTTTGAAGTGGAGAATGGGATCCATTTTATTGACCCCACCATGAGAGTGTGTGACCTTATGATAGAGGATAGACTGGGGTGGGATTTTAATAGGATAGTTGAGAATTTGAATTTTAGCGTTAGGGATACGCGTGCTATTCTTATTATACCCTTGAGCATAACCAACTGGAATGATAAGCTTATTTGGCATTTTGAGAAAACGGGTGTTAGCGTCAGGTCTGGTTATTTCTTGTACATTAGAACCATGGTAGGGGGTTTATTATAGAAAGAGATGACATTTGGAGGAAGATTTAGAACCTTAAAGTCCCCCCTTACGATGAAAGAATTCAAATGGAGAACCCTTAAAGGTGTTTTACCTCTTAGGCTTAAGCTCATTGCGAGAGGGGTGAGTGTCGCTAGTAATTCTTTATTTTTTTTAATATGGACGAAGATACTCCTCACGTTCTTTTTAGGTGCCATAGAGCTATGGATGTGTGGAATTATAGTGGTTTTCATGTTCCTTTTAATGTTGTGTCTTTTAAGGACTTCTTATTGTAGGTTTTTGATAATCTAAGGTTAGAGCAAGTGGAAGAGATGATTTTCATTGTGTGGAATCTGTGGAGAGCGAGAAATCAAAAGCTTTGGAATAACTCAAAACTTCCTCCGGCTGTGATCCTTAGAGATGCAAAGAACCAATGTTCAGAATGGAAAGCACATTCAAAAGTCACTTGCAGTTTGACTCATAATAGGAATTCCTATGCACGCTACCCCTACAGTGCCCTAACCCATGCTGACTCGTTTGGTACTAGCGCTACTACCAGAAGTGCTTATCCTAATCATGTGAGCCAATC